AAGCCCAGGACCAGGCCGGCATGATTCCACCAACTGACCCAAGGGGTGTGTCCATGACTCCCTGAGCCCAAAGGAAATGAGTTGAATGATGCTGGGAGTCATTCATCTTAAAGGATTGCCACTGCTAGTTGGCAATGGCAGCCTCCTGCATTCATCTCCCAGGACAGGTTTTCGTTTGGGGTCTATTCACAATTGTCTGTTTTGATGCAGCAAAACTATTGCATTATGCATCACGAATATGCATGTGAAGTAGAAATCCATTTCTTTATTAGGTGCCTGGTTTTCATCCATCACGCTTCAGTTTAGTGTGAAAGACAAATAGAAACTCTATGGACCCATTCACACCTACACATGCGCACTAAACACACGGAACAGTGTAAATTCAGTCTTAGAGTAAAATCTCACAAAGAATATTCTCTGTTATGTCATTTTCTTGTAAACTTTACCCATGACCCTTCAACATTAGTTATTCTGACCACAAACCACGACCAGTCGATGTGCTGCACCCTTCCTTCTCTGGAGGGCCGCTATATTTCCCACATCACCATACAGCTGTGTAACAAACGTTTTACTGGGAAAGAAATTACCTCTGTGCAAAGTAGGATTTAAAATTAATTCCAACAATGCTAATGAAAGTAAAATGCCAAACATTGTAGTCTGAGCCCTTAGCGGCTCTCAGAATACCCAGTGGTTGCAGAAGATTGCCTACAGTCACTGTAAGCCGACAATTTTCCACCCGGCTCCTTCGACAAAAGTCAATGGAAAAATCGACTTTTGTTAAGATGGTGGTGCTGGCGCGGACTTCCTGCAGAGCAATTGTCAGCCAATTCAGCAAGAAATGGGAAAAATTTGATCTGTGTATGAACGGCTTTAGTCTTGTAACTAGGGATGTACCAATACCATTTTTTCCAGACCGAGTACTGATACTTTTCCTCAAGTACTCACCGATACCAATTATTGATACTTTTTTTTTGGTGTCATGCGACAGTTTTTCTAAACAATACAGACTAAGGATTTTAGGATAGTGGTGAAGTGGTACAGCTATGCACAATTACATGCTACCATAGTGGACTAAAAATCCCAGCAATACTTTATACAGCAACAGAGAATGGCACCCGGCTATAGAGGACTAAAAATCTCAGCAATACATTATACAGCAACGGAGAATGGCACCCAGCTATAGAGGACTACAAATTCCAGAAATACAATACAGGGCAATGCCGAATGATACCAATAAAACTATAAAAGTATAACTGGTGTCTAGTTTTTGGCTGGTCTGAGGAGTGGTCCTCAGCGTCTCAGCAGGGGTGCCCAGGATCTCAGGAGGAGTGTGCAGGGTCTCAACAGTGTGCCCAGGGTCTCAGGAAGGGCCTGCAGTATCTCAGCAGGGGTGCCCAGGGTCTCAGGAGGTGCCTGCAGGGTCTCAACAGGTTGCCCAGGTTTTCAGCAGGGGTGCCCAGGTGCTTAGCAGGAGTGCCCAGGGTCTCAGGAGGGGTGCCCAGGATCTCAGGAGGGGTGCCTAGGATCTCAGGAGGGGTACGCAGTATCTCAGCAGGGGTGCCCAGGGTCTCAGGAGGTGCCTGCACAGTCTCAGCAGGTTGCCCAGGGTCTCAGCAGGGTGCCAAAGGTCTCAGCAGGGGTGCCCAGGGTCTCAGGAGGGGGGCCCGGGGTTTCAGAAGGGCTGTCTAGGATCTCAGGAGGGGTCAGCAGGATCTCAGGAGGGGTCCGCAGCATCTCAACAGGGGTACCCAGGGTCTTAGTAGGGGTCCGCAGCATCTCAACAGGGCAGGCAGGTACAGGAGGCAAAGTGCTATAAACAGCACCACGAGGTCTCAGCAGGTGGATGGTTATGAGAGGAGGAAGAGTTGTAAACAGCACCGGGAGGTCCCCAGAAAGCTGCCATGAGGTCCCCAGCAAGTGTGGGACCTTATGGCAGCCGCTTGTGTTTAAAAATTGAAAGCGCCAGTATAAGGGCTTAATATAGGAGCATTTTCACAAGTGCTCGTAAAAATGCCCAGTATCGACGCTGATACTAGTATCGGTGTCAGTGCATCACTACTGGTAACTATTCATGAAGTTAGTCTTGAATCTATTCAGGTTTCTTGGAAGAAAATAACATCACTTTTTTGGCAGGCTGGTCCTCCCTATTAAAAATTTTCAGACTATGCCCATGAATGGAGCTAGGAATGGAGCTAGGAACATATTACTACTTATATTTGATAGACATTTTGTAATCGTGCCATGTTCTCAGCAATTAGAGCACGGAGTTTGTGGTTGGTACCGCAGGCCTTTCAGAACAAAAAACACAAATTGCAAAAATCTCTCACTTATACTAAAAAACCTACCCTTACCATAGCCTTAGGCTGACCACGGCAATTAAAGTGCTTTAAAGCAAAAGAAAAAGCAAATTCACACCACAGGTTAATTGAAGGCACCGGAATTTACCTTGGCTGCACTCTTCTGGCACTTTAGCTCCCTGAAAAACCTGTTCATTCTTAGTATGGTAGAACATATGATCTTCCGCTCTGCCTCCGGGCTCAGTGCACAAGAAAACAGTAAGCTTGTGCCTGACTTTCAGGGCGGTTGAGCTGGTGGACTGGGGATGAGGGAGCGCAGATAAGGTAGGAGCAGGCACCCAAAAAAACCAATCCCTCCACATCCAGAGATACAATTGTAGTTATTTCGGAATTTTGGAGGATGTTCAATTTATACCGAATTATATTGGTTCGTAGTCCAGTGGCCAAATATGAATCCGAATCTCAGTGTTATTTTGATGGTATTGATGTCAAAAAAAGCTTTTGGGAGAATGGGACCAAAGGCTGCCTCAATGTCTGTCTCTGTCTGCTTATATCCGCTTCTGCTGTTGCCTGAGCAGCACTATCTGCCAGTGCCACCAAGTCCCACCCTTCTATCTACGTATCACTGCTAGAATTTGTAATGTATGTTTATTGGCCCCATCATCTCAACATGCAGGGCTGTCAGGAGCCCCCAAACATTGTTATGCACAAAATCCCATCATGTTCCATTAAATACGCTGAACTATCACTGTTTAATGTTTTCAGAACTTCGCTTATCTCTATGTACAATGTTAATTTCGGGTATTTCATTAAATGTAATTACATTGTCCTACCTGCTGTGTGAAATACACCATTTTCCTATTATCTGCTAAAAGTTTTCAAAATGAAAGCCAAATGGTCAGCTCTGCAATGAGGACGCAATCAATTCAGTAGTTTTGAAAGTTGAACTACATGTCCAATCCTTTTGTGCTTCCCAGGATGTGGTAGATCTAGGTCAAAGGATAATAATGCACAAGGATAAGCTTGTTAAATATAGCTTGCAGTCGGCTTAAAGAAAACCTCTCCAGGAAAAAAACACAGTGGCTGCCGTTGCTGACTTCTCATTCTGCTTATACTGGTTGCCAGACTGTCACGCTGACCCTGATGCTTCAATACTTTATGTCCCTGACCTGGAACAAGCATACAGACAAGGACTTCTGACCTTACTATGACTTTCTAATCTGGGTACTTATTCCAGGTCAGTGTAATAGCCAGGCAAGCAGCATCTTCAGGAGGAGTTCAGCAATGCCAGCCTTCATGTTTCTTGCAGGGTAAGCTATTCTTTATATGCCTTGTTTTCATGTTCCATTGGAATGCATTGTAAGGCCTTCTTCACATGGGCCCCATCTTGTATACTAGCAGAATATAAAACTTGCTTTTGCAAAGCATTCAAAAGGCTTTCAGGAAGTTTTGCGCTTAATTTCCAATATGGGGATATTAAACATATAGTATATGTTAATGGGAGTGCTGACTGTCCCTTTAAAAACAAGCATTGCCCTCTCCTCCAATAGAAGAGTCTATTTACTCTTTGTGCTGGCCCAGCTCTTTCCCTCTCAACTCTTTGCATGCATTTTATGTACCTGTTGAGGGAAGAGCAAAGGGGAATGCTATAAAGTGTTGTGACACACTAAAACCCTAAGGCAGGGTTCACACCTAGGCAGCACTGTTTTTTTCGCATTTATAAACCCGTGAGAAGCATGTTATTTTTACGCATTGTGCACATTTTGATGTGCGTTTTTACGCGCGTACATGAAGACACACATTTTGACTAGCTTAGGAAACACTGCGGGCAATGGAGAACGTGTGTTTAAACGTGCAAAAACTATCATGAAAATGTGCAACCTGCTTCTAAAGCACGTTTTTTGGGCATTTCTAATGAAGTCTATGGGGGCAAAAATGCGTTTTTACCTGCCCAAAAGAAGCTCATGTATCTTTTTGGGTGTTTGGCTTTTTCCTGCTGGCATCTTTCTGCTCAGGTGTGAACCAGGGCCATTGAAAATCATGGGATTTCTTTTCTGCTCAGGTGTGAACCAGGCCTAAAGGTGCCCATACACTGTACGATTATCGTACGAGAATTGCGGGAAATCCCGCGATCGTACACTGCCCATTTGCAGTAATCGGAAGCCCATCCCTCATTGCAGTCATGATCGCAAGTACGATTTGCCTGTCCAAGATGGGCAGATCGTGCGGGCTTTTAATAAGCGTACGACCATCCCAAGACAAAAGTCTTGGGATGGTCGTAAGGTGTATGGGCACCTTAAGACTGCTGGGGCTGCTGACATAATATTCAAGATGGTGGCACCCAGCAGCAGTCTAAGCTTATTCCAATATCTTCATAAGGGAGTTTTTTTTACAGGTAAATAACATACATAAAATATGCTGAATGCACATATAATCTCCAGGAGCAGATTCTTGTTAATAGGAATGGTCTGGTTACAGGGTCTCCTTAAGATCCGTGCTTAGCCTCCCTAAACTTGAGCTGAAGGGTGCTTGCCGAAAGCTTTGCAAATGCAGATTGCTGATCTCACTGTTCTTACACAAGCAGAAACCTGTATGAACACGACCTGAACCAGTAATTTATCCAAATGTGATCAATGTTATCTCACTGTTGATTATCATTATATATGTAATTAGATGAAACTGTTCTGTACTTCTCTCTGGCAGGTTCGAGTCTACATTGCAGCGTTCACAGCTGAAAAGAATGAATACGCCGACTTAATAGTCTTGAGGTTCCTGTCCATGAATTCTATAGTGGATCCGTGGATGTTTATCATCTGTAGGACGTCAAAGTTTCACACTCACGTTCACAATCTATGCAGTAAAATCCACCACTCAAGCAACATAAATTCTCAGCTACTTGAAGACAGCACGAAAAGTGAATTGTAACATAACTATTGACCCACGACGCAGGAGTTGGTCTGCTCTGGCGAAAGTTCCATTCTTGGAATTATGACAAGACTAGTTTAATATATAAAGCTCAAACGATGTGGTCAACTCATAGACGAATATGAAGCTACCAAAACAAGCACCTGCTTCCAGCAAAAACTATTACGCGGACATACATTTCCTTTATGAGAAAAACTGTACAGGTTTCTCTATAAGATGTCCTGACTGGCCATGCCATGGAAGCACAGCAAAATACTTTAACAAGATTCAGCTGTTAAAATGTACAGAGATGGATAGTGATGTGTACTGTGACTATATATAAAATATATATATATATGATAATAATGTTTACATATTTGACATAAATAAATTTATGTGACTATTGAATGACAGAAAACAACACTATAAACCAGAAACTGACTGTCTTAATAAAGTATTGCTTTAGGGCCAATTCACACCTCATCCAGATCATCTCCAGACCCAAAATGCATCCTAATTTATCCCTATGCTATTTCTAGCCTCTGTTCACACCAACGCAGTCCATTCAAGAACAGACCAGACACATACCGCAGGTCTCATTTTGTCTGCTCTGGAATGCAATGGAACTGCAGGCAGGTTCACACCATTTTCTGTACCAGATCTGGTCCGGAAAATGGTGTGAACCTGCCCTTAGTAAAATAGCTTGGAGATGGAGAGGAGCTAAGAAGGATTATACTATGGGGTAAGGAGAGGTTAGAAAGAGATGTAGTAGATGGGAATGGAGTTATAAAGTGATGTAGGAGATGGATTAAACCATGGGATGGAATGGGGTTAGGAAGAGATGTAGTAGATGGTTTATACTGTTGGATGGAACAGGGCTAGGAAGAGATGTATTAGAAGGAACAGAGTTAGAAAGTGATGTAGGTGATGAATTAAACCATGGGATGGAATGGGGTTATGAAGAGATGTAGTAGATGGTAATGGAATGGAGTTAGAAAGTGATGTAGGAGATGGATTACACTATGGGATGGAATGGGGTTAGAAAGAGATGTATTGGCTGGATTATACTATGGGATCGAACAGGGCTAGGAAGAGATGTATTAGAAGGAACAGAGTTAGAAAGGGATATAGGAGACGGATTAAACCATGGGATAGAATGGGGTTAGGATGAGATGTAGTAGATGGCTTATACTATGGGATGGAATGCGGCTAGGAAGAGATGTAGTGGATGGATTGTACTGTGGGATGGAATGCGGCTAGGAGAAGATGTAGTAGATGGATTGTACTGTGGGATAGAATGCGGCTAGGAAGAGATGTATTAGAAGGAACAGAGTTAGAAAGTGATGTAAAGGACAGATTAAACCATGCGATGGAATGGAGTTAGGAAGAGATGTAGTAGATAATACAGAATTAGAAAGTGATGTAGGAGATGGATTAAACCATGGGATGGGAAGGGGTTAGGAAGAGATGTAGTAGATGGAACAGAGTTGGAAAGTGATGTAGGAGACGGATTAAACCATGGGATGGGGTTAGGAAGAGATGTAGTAGATGGTAATGGAATGGTGTTTGAAAGAGATGTACTAGATGGATTATACAAAGGGTTGGAATAGGGTTAGGAAATGAAGTAGTCGTTGAAACGGAGTTAGAAAGTGATGTAGAAAATGGATTAAACTATGGGATGAAATGGTGTATAGAAAAGTATGTGGTATGGATTATATTATGAGATGAAATGGCAAGATATGCAATAGATGGATTATACTATAGAATGCAGTGAAGTTCGGAAGAGATAATGTGGATGGATTATACTATGGAACGAATAGGGTTAGGAAGAGCTGTAGTACATGGATTATACTGAGGGATGGAATAGGTTTAGAAAACAATGTAGGAGATGGATTATGCTATAGTGTTGAATGGGGTTAGGAAGAGATGTAGTAGATAATGTATACTAGGGGATGTAATGGGATTAGGAAAAGATGCAGTAGATGGTTTATACTAGGGAACAGATTAGGGTTAGGTAGACATGCAGTAGATGGTTTATACTAGGGGATGGAATGGGGTTACGTATGGATGGGTCAGAGGATTGAAGCTATGAGAATGAAATGGGTCAGTAATATTGAGTATATATAATGAAAAAAAGGAAATGAATAAAATTAGTAAAAAGTAAAGCAAAGGAAAGGTCAATGGGAATGAATGGGGTTACAATATGGTGAACAGATGATGAATGAAGTGAAGGTAAAGAAAGGTAAAGAATGGACCTTTCAAAGGCTACCAGGAAGGAAGCACTGCATACTTGCATAGTGCTTCAGTTTTTCATCCAGGCTTAGCTGTAATGAATTCTTTGTTAGTAATCTGCTGATCTGGGAAATGTCTTTGCTTTGCTCTTTGTACTGCCGGAAAGAAATACTTAAACAAACCCACTGCACCTCCTCACTATATTTCACACAGCTAAAACATGATGTATCTTAATGTCATTTCCAGACTCCAGATTTTACCATTTTACACACAATGAAGCTCAGGCTGTGGCCGCTGTGGGCAGATAGGCCACCGGAAAGCTGATGATTGTGGAAGGTAAGATAAAGAATCTTGGGGTAGGGAGGTTGTTATTGAGGTTGTGGGGAGGGTTTTATGCTTTCTCATCACAAAAAATGATGGCACACTATAAAATCTTTACATACAAAGGTGATTTAAAGCAACTTCAGGCAGATATTTAAAAAAAAAAAAGCATTTCAATCCAATTATACATTGATTAAAAAAACATGAATTGTATTTTTATATACTACTGCCTTAAACAAAAACATTCACCAAAACGTTAAACTTATTTGATCCCCCCCCCCATGGGACCAATTGCATATAGCACTAGGTCTCGTTCTGATTGGTGGCCCCTTTGCGGATTAAAAGCACTTCTGTATTTATGTCAATGCTGGCTGTAGCTCCACCCCAGTCAAAAATCCAATATAAGGGCGTTCCTGTGGGGGGAGGTACAGCCTAGGGTTGCCACCTTTTCTTCAAGTGAAACCCGAACACTGTAGCAATGAGCGGACATTTGTTTGAGGAGAATGAGTCGTGGCTTATTCATATGTAAATAGCACCGCCTATTCATATGTAAATATCACAGTTGAGACTATTTTCAGTGGGGGGCCAGTAGCTCCTATCTTATTTTGATTGCCCCTGTCTCTCTGACATCTTGTGTCCGGGTTTCTGCTGCCATGAAACCCGGACACAGCATTCAAAACCCGGACTGTCCGGGTGAATCCTGGACAGGTGGCAACCCTAGTACAGCCAGCCCTGAACCCGGCTCCCTCTCTAAAATGACTTTTTTTTACTATTATGAAAAATCAGTGCTACAGGGCTGTCAGCTGCTAGTAAACATACAAAGCCCAATGGATCGATCAGACAGCCCGACAGTGCTGAGAGATACTTTACTGTTATGAATGAACGATCAGCGCTGTCTGGGCAGGTGATGTGTTCACTCATAACAGTAAAAGATAACTCAGAGTGGTGTGATAGATCTGCCGGAGCTGTGTATTTACAAGTATCTGCAGATAGAATGGCCCACAGGCTCCATAGAGGCGCCTGCTGACAGATACCAGCCATGTCACTCAAAATTCTATCTGCTTGCTAGGAGCGTGGTCGGACAGCATTGGGTAAACTGTCTGACCATCCTACATATCAATGGCAGGGTGGACTTGGTCCCCTGGGGGACTAAATTAAAGTTTAAACATTTTTATGAGAACTCTTGAACCCTCTAGTACAGCAAAACTCACACGGGGCAGTGATGGGAGCTTCCTTAGAGGGGATGAGAGCAGAGTGATGACCTCAACAGTGTGTTTATAGGCCTACATTGTCCAATCACAGGCTGGGGCTTGTCCTAGGCTAGCTTGTAATTCTCAACTGCAATGTAGTCTGTAGGCAGGTCATAGGAAGAGCAGGACCAGGATATGCTGCCTGTCAGGGATGCCAGGTTTCCAGGGCTGGCTGAGCATTTGAATGAATATCCAGGTATCATATATATGCAGTTTAAGTCTTTATCTAGCTGTTTGCCCATTCAGCTTTAAGGGAACTGTATTTTATATCAAATTAAAACTAATTACACTCACATGTCAGTTGTCTGTGGCAAAGCTGAGAAAAAAAACACTTTAACTTTATGGTTTTTTTTGTGCGATAGTAATGATAAAATGTGGCTTTCCTGTGCAATTCCTATTCACCATCATAACTGCTTCTATTGCAAAACACTCTTCGGTTAGAGATAAGACACTATGGTATTGTTCATTTATACAGAAGCCTAATGATATTCTCAGAAAAGCAATCTAATGCCAGAATAGCTCATAGTGTGGCTAAGATCTGTTCCTGATAACGGCAGTCAAGATGAAATGTTGGTGAACAAATCTTGCTTTTTGAGCTGGGAACTATCAGTAACCCTGCGGCTCAGAGTTCTCGGGTTCCTTCCCAGGTCTAATCTCTTTATTACGTTATACAGGACCCAATGTTGTTGTTGTTGTTTTTTTGTTTGTTTTATTTGTTCTTTTAGATATGCCTGTGAAAAAAATAGTAAAGATTTGTTTAACTGTATCACAAGATAAGTTTAAACTGTATCTAAAACCCAAAAAATATTTTTTTGTATTGGATAGAGTGGTCACGATGTCTGCAAATAAGGGAAAATACAACATTTTTAGTTGTTACCGGAATGAGAACAGAGAGGAAAGCTTCCACTAGAAAGGGAGGAATTTTCTTACTTGTCTGTTGTCTCTATAGCAGGGCCGGGCAAATCCCAGCAGCCAGGTAGCCAATGCTCCCATTACAGCTGGCATGTAACTTTTGAGGTTTTCTCTAGTTGTTGTCAATGGAGATGACTCCTTAATGGAATCTTATTGGCTTGCTGGCTCCTGGATTGTACAGACTTGCTCCTGAATAAGAATGGGCTCGGGCGTGTTCGCAGCTCCACGTGCCGAGCCCGCCAGGAAGCTGACAGCGTGCAGCGCCAAACGCAGGTACTGAGACAACTCTGCAACTGCAGAGATCGGGAAATGTCTCAGTGACTGTGTCAGCTTCCTGGCGGGCTCGGCACGTGGAGCTGCAAACACGCCCGAGCCCATTCTTACTCCTGAACTCCCGATTCATTTGTCCACCCCTGCTCTATAGGACAGGAAGTGAAGGGAAATCTCTGCAATGGGACACTTGACAGGCATTCTAATCATTACTTTTAAGACAAGAATATTTGGTCTTTACATAAGCAGGCTTCCTGTTGATCATCTTACCTCTGTCCGACTGAAAAAAAAAAAACACACATACTCCCTGCAGGCAATAATGATGTCAAAAAGTCACAATGCACCTGGCAGCCATAGCCCACTTCACCTGTGCCTAAAGGAGCCCACTTCACCTTTGCAATAAAGAAGCTC